GTTAGTGAGGCATTTGTAATGAGTAGGCTTGCTTGCTGAAAATGCAAATTGAATAGTTAACCAGTTGTTTGAATCAGAAGATATCTGCTAGATGAGAGTCAGTGAAATCTTTTTTTGTTTCTGGGTAAAGAAGGGTGGTATTAACTGGTACTGCTGTCAGTAAAGGTCTATTGCTGGATGCACAAAAGAAGCAGTTAGAGGCTTTGGGGTGGGTGGTGAAGGGAAGAAAGTTAGCAACATATTGAATGTATTTGCTCCAGGACATAGTTGATCTTATCTGGTCCTCTGTTTGTTTTTCCTGTAGAATAATATTATGATGAGTTAGCACAGACTTAGCTGCAGGTACAAGCTGTCGAGAGATATGAAAGTCAGCTGTAGGGTACCTAGCAATTGCACCTGAGTAGAACTTTCCTATTACTCCAATACGCCAGCGATCGTCCCATGGATCTGCAATATATATTAGGGAATAGTCATGGTTCCCATAGAGATACTTATTATCCTTTAGGTAGATGGGTCTTCTCTGTTCTGTTATGCCCTGATATTTCCCAGTGTATCCTTGTTCCAACCTATAGGGATTGAAATAGCAGCAGTCCCCATAGGTATCAACTTCCTTGAGGCATGATGGATCTCTTTGTTGAAAAGAAGCAAACATATTCGTTAGTTCCATATCTGCTAGCATTTGGGTGTATTATGATTTCTATGGGTTTTTGACAGTCCACTAGGGGGCAGTCTGCAGTTCCGATTACCTGATTTTTTTCCTCGAAATGTTTCTCTGACATAAAATTTCCAGAACATAGTATTAGGGTTATTTTTTAGTCCCTGGCATGTTTGTCTGTGCTCAGGGGTTATCCCTTTGCAGACAAGCTTGTTTAAAAGCATTGCTTTGGCTATAGGATCTGTTATTTTTTTTATCTAAACTGGCCTGCACTCTTAGTATAAAGTCTGGGAGGGTTTTAGTTGGAGGGTTTTTGTTTTAAGAAGGTTAATGAAAAGGTCTCTCCAGGCCCAGTGGACAAGGGGGTTAGGCAGTCCCAGGCCTGTAGTGCACATAAGCGGACCTGCTCAAAACAGTCAGCAGGAAT